CAAAATGGCCGACCAAGTTTTACATAGAAATATATAGGAAAATTCTTTAAAAATCTTTTTCTCATGAATGACCAAGCCATAATTGATCATATTTATATGGAAGCATCCTCAGGTAGTGTAGATTCAAGTTTTTTTCAAATCATGACCCCCGGGGGTAGGGCGGGGCCAAAATGACTGACCAAAGTTTTACGTAGACATATATAGGAAAATTCTTTAAAGATCTTCTTCTCATGAATGACCAAGCCATAATTGATCATATTTATATGGAAGCATCCACAGGTAGTGTGGATTCAAGTTTGTTCAAATCATGACCCCCAGGGGAAGGGCGGGGCCAAAATGGCCGACCAAAGTTTTACATAGAAATATATAGGAAAATTCTTTAAAAATCTTCTTCTCATGAATGACCAAGCCATAATTGATCATATTTATATGGAAGCATCCAAAGGTAGTGTAGATTCAAGTTTGCTCAAATCCTGACCCCCGGGGGTAGGGCTGGGCCAAAATGGCCAACCAAAGTTTTACATATAAATTTATAGGAAAATTCTTTAAAAATCTTCTTCTCGAGAATGACCAAGCCATAATTGATCATATTTATATGGAAGCATCCTCAGGTAGTGTAGATTCAAGTCATGAACCCCGGGAGTAGGGCTGGGCCAAAATGGCCAACCGAAGTTTTACATAGAAATATATAGGAAAATTCTTTAAAAATCTTCTTCTCATAGATAGAAAATCCATGGTTGTTCATGGGACTACTTTTGGATTTTACCTTTTAATAATAAACCAATTTATACTTTTACTAGCCACAGTGCTCATTTGAGCGATGTGGCCCATGGGGCTTTAGTTCTTTTTTTGGTCAGACCTACTGAAATGATATTTGGTATATAAAATTTGAATAAGAACATCTGTCATTTCTTTTTATGATGAAGCTAGTTTGGACAAAGTTATGCCCTTGGATTTAAAAAAATTTATAAGGGGGAGGTTTCAAAAGTGTTTACAAACGTCTCTTGATGTGTATATTTTCTTGGTAAGTGAAAGACTGAAACAATTTGCGCGGTTTTCTTTTACACATAACAAACTTGCAAAGATATACGTACAGTGTCAGATTTCTTTTCACCGGAAAACAAACCAGTCGCAAACTGAATTTTGAGGAACCACTTAAAGTATATAAAGATGAGATAGATTCATCTCAAAATAGCTTGGAGATAGTTTCGTATTTTCGTGTCACAAGCTTTTAGGAGGGAAGCATCAAAGATGGCAAAATGTATAAATTTATTAAGTTATCTTCAATTTCGCTACCAAAGGAAAAAGTTGAATTTTTATGAAAATGGGACTTAGCTTTTTCAAAAAATGCTACAGTAAATAGTCTTGTTTTCTTTTGAAAGTTATGGCCTAAGATGAAAGCCCTCTTACGAAAGCGAAGATTTTGTTCATGTTTTCATATGAACCTTTAACCCTAGTATCTACATTATACCTTCAGATTGGGTGAATTGTTCTCTTGACTCAATCCTAACAAAAAATACTTTAGTTAACTATTGTTTACTATAGTTAACTCTATAGTTAAATATAGTGAACACTTTGATTTACTATTGTATACACTTTGACACTTTGATTTACTATAGTGATAAATATGAAAACCTTTATTTACCATGGAGATTACTATGGAAACTTTGATTAACTATGGTGATAACTTTGAAAAGTGATTTACTATAGTGATCACTTTGACACTATAGTGATCACTTTGAACACTTTGATTTACTATTTTGAACACTTTGACACTTAGTGAAAACTTCAATTTACATGTGCTATTAATAGTGATAACTTTGACACTTTGATTTACTATAGCTAGTAAACTACATGTATAGTAATTTTTGTTAAGGAAAAACATGTTTTATGAAACTACCGTTGGTGAGACTGTTAAATAGCTTTTTTTGCTTTTTGTTTTGATGGTATTGGTTCAATATTTACATCAAGGATCAGAGTTAATTTTGTTATTGCAGTTAAACATTTCATATTTTTTATGTCTTTGACTAATGTAAATTAAATTAAAATATATCTATATTTCTTTTATGATTGAATAATATCTTGAGTAAAATGTTGAATAAAAGGAATAATATTTACATCTCTATTTTTGTATTTATAATCAAAGAATGCATTAGAGAGCAGTTCTTAAATAATTTCCAACAGCTGCTAGATTTTACAGCACCAGTTAAGAGTAACCCTGCAAATTCACTTTTCAACTTTTAATGTAATATAATTACATATTAACTTTCAATTTTTGAATGTATAGAAAAGGGACATCCATCAGTCATGATTTTTTTTTGCAAGCCAGACTGCAAAAAAAAAAAAGACAAAGAAAGAGGGCGTATTAGGCATGGATAAATCCCCTGGTCTGAGAAAAAATGTTTCTTAATTTTCAAAGTTCACAGAAAAGTTATATTTTTCTAAGATCATGTTCTCAGTTATGTCATCGTCAGAACATTAATTTGATCATTTAATTTTACTGAACGACTTGTTATTTGATAATCTTTATTTCAAAGTTGACAGTTAAGCATATTTAGTGGAAAATGGGTTTAATAGAGATATAAAAAATGAAATTTGAACATGAATGGGTCAAGTCTCTTAACTGATGGAAACGTAAATGCAAAATCTATTTCATTCGTCAAAAAAAAAAATGGAATCTTAACCCAATCCTTATGAAAATCAAAAATTTCTGAAACAAATGTACGCCTCAACAAAACCTTTCATTTAAATCACATTGACAGACGTCGAAAATGCATATTCTTCGTAGCGTAGTGGTTAAAGCGATCGGTCTTTGACCAAACCCTGCGCTATAAAGAGAATTCGAATCAAACGTGAAACTTTTTCTTTTTTGTTTTCACAAATCTTAAAAAACATGATTGAAAAATAAATTATTAATAAAATAATAAAACAATGAAATACAGAATTAAATGTGAAAAAGATGATATTAACAGTATAAATTTGAAAAAAAAAAATAACTTTAATAAATGAGAAATGTCTTTTCTCAGAGCACGGGATTGTCCTTGCCTTGTACGCCCCATTCTTTACTTCGATCAGAACGCTATTTATGTTGAATGTTCAATAACTGATATGAAAGATGTCCTTTATACAGACATAGATTTTTCTAACTTAGGCTTCAGCCTTCAGGTCAATTTTTAGATATGTCGACGATGAGTGATTTCCATCCAGCTATAGGGGATGCTTACTCCTCCTTGGCACCTCAACCTTTGACTATTCAATGGTCCGCGTTTTTGTGAGTTTTTTATCTACTTGTTTTGTTTAAAGATTTATGTTTGATTTACTGTCAGTGTTCGCTACCTTCATCGCTTTCATCACGAATAATGCTAGGGACATTTTTAAAACAATGCTTCTCCCTAATCATCAAAATTAATGAATCAGTGGGTATATATAGGTGGAAAATCTTTTATCGTTGGATAAGAGGAATACTAAGAAAAAATGTGGAATATAAAAAAAATTGACTTGGGCCTTTTTTTTCAGTTGGTCGGGAGAGTGCAACCAAACAAGTTATTTAAATATGGCCCAAGAGAACTGCACTTTATCAAAAGACATAACAGAATCCCATCCTTTCAAAAGAAGGGAATACAATGTTATACTCAGTATGCTTTATTTATTTTCCTAAAAACACGTCCAAAATACACATGCAAAACAAAGATATCACAATGCATTGACTTTCACCCCTCGCCCCTTTTGGAACATATAAATATATATACAAAACCTTATCTAAAGTTTTGCAATTGTGTGATAGGAAATACAAAATCTTCCCTCTAGAATAAATTCCTGCAACTTAATTCTTGCTGTCTTCAAGTACTTATCTGATAAATAAATGAACCCGATAATATATGAATTAACTAATAATGAAATGTACAGTACTACACAGATGAAATATGAACATAATCCTAAATTGGCTTTCTCTTCCTTTCAGAAATAAACAGATCAGTATATACAACAATTGTAGTCAATATTGCAATGATATCATATACAAATACGTAATTATCATTAATTCAGCGTTCTTGAGTAAATTTATACTTGACTAAAATTGTTTTCAGATTTTAAAGAAGAACTCATAAAATAAATTTCTCTATAAATACACAAATTAAATTAGAGACCAGCTTCATTTCGACAATTCGAATGCTCAAGCCCTAGTCGAACTTTTGCTATCCGTATCATGCAGCTAGGCAAAAAAATTCATTTCGACTGAGAAATATAGCAACACATTCCATCAGGTAGAAAAAGAAAATCTTGATGTCAAGCATAAAGCTAGAAATTCTGGTAAAATAACATGAATAATACGATATTATATTCTCTACATTATACAACCCTTTCTAGTTAAAATTTTTGCATATACTACGCTCCACTCCATTCGTTCAATCCATACATAAAATCATAAAAGGTGAGAAAAAAAACACTCCACACAAAAAGCAAAAGAAAGGTATAATATTTAGTTTTTTGCATTACAAAATAATATCATTAAGCGAAAAAAATACAGGAAATTTCTTATTTGAATAAGTGGAATGACAAAACATTTGGTCCCATATTTACATTTCTACAAAAAAAAAATTCAAGAACCAGTTCATATTGATGTTTCATTTGTATGTTAACTAACACTGCAAATGTATCAACACATAAACGTTACCTAAATTTACCTACACAAAGGATAAAATGTTTACATCACTAGCTGATTACAAAGTGTTTCCTATGTACATTTTGCACAATTGCAAAATGTATTGTGTATCTCCATATTTTACTCAAAATTATCCAAAACAGAAAAAAAATCCCTCATAATATAAATAACACGGGTAATGTATAAATAACACAGGTAATGTATAAATAACACAGGTAATGCATAAATAACACAGGTAATGTATTATTTTATCTACAGCGGACAGCATGACTTGGCGAATTTATACATTTATAACAGACACATTCTTACCCATTGATGTTAAATGAAAATTTGACTCGCCCTACAAATTACATTTGTTGATATCTGCACCGCGTTCAAGAAGTTTTTCTTCAACATGAAGATGTCCTTTCCGTGACGCTAAGGTTAGAGCTGATCTTCCAGATGCATCGCTCATGTTGATGTCGGCACCATGCTCAATAAGCTTTTGAACAACAGTAAGATGGCCTCTCCATGAGGCTAACATTAAAGGTGACTTACCATTAATATCAACCATATTAATTGAGGAACCATGTTTTAATAATTTTTCTACAACAGAATAGTGACCTCCTAATGATGCAAAATGTAGGCGTGTTAATCTTTTTTTATCACAACAATCAATTTCAGCACCGTGCTTTATTAGTGTATCTACAACGAACAAATGACCATTGTTTGATGCTATGTGCAAAGATGACAAACCGCGAATATTGCACATGTTGAGGTTAACATTGTGTTCGATAAGTTTTTCTACAACAGGAAGATGACCTTTCAATGAAGCTAAATATATAGATGACTTATCATTTATATCAAGACTATTGATATTGGCACCATGTTCCAGTAGTGTTTCAGCAATGGAAGCATATCCATTGAATGACGCTCGATGAAGAGGTGTAATTCTATCTTTATCGCATAGATTACAGTCGGCACTGTTCGAGATTAATGCTTCTACGACAGACAAATGACCATTCTGTGAAGCTATATGTAAAGACGACTGACCATAATTATCACACATATTTAGGTCAGCACCGTACTCAATATGTTTTTCTACAATAGAACAATAACCATTTGATGATGCTAAAAATAGAGATATCCTTCCATGAATATCACGTTTGTTGTTTATGAATTCTTTTACAACAGGCATATAGTTACTTTTTGACGAAAGACCTTGGGGTGCTATGTCATTTTTATCATTTCTGAAACAGGAAGCGATATAAGCTAATAATATTTCGACAACAGGTAAATGGCCATGTTGTGATGCTAAATGAAGACATGATAGACCCTGTAGGTCAATCTTCTTGACGTCAGCGCCATTTTTTATTAGTTTTTCAACTACTGATAAATGACCTTCTATAGACGCTAAATGTAAAGGCGACTGTTCTTTCATATCACACTTGTTGATGTCAGCTTCACTCTCGATTAGCTTTTCTACAACAGGAAGATGGCCTTTTGATGATGCTATATGTAGAGGCGTTTGACCTTCCACATTACACTTATTAATTTCGGCACCGTGTTCAATAAGTTTGTGAACAGCAGCACAATGGCCCTCGGAAGATGCTAGATATAATGATGACTGACCATGATTATCACACTTGTCGATGTCTGAAACATGCTTTGTCAACTTGTTTACAACAGAAGCGTGACCTCTAAATGCTGCTCTATGAAGAGGTGTTAAGTTATTTTTATCGCAGAGGTCACAATCTGCACCATGCTCGAATAATGTGTCTACGACTGACAAATGCCCATTTTGTGATGCTAAATGTAGAGATGTCTGACCGTGAATATCAGTATTGTTGATATCTGCGCCGAAGTCAATAAGTTTTTTTACAACAGTTAAATGACCTTCCAATGACGCTAGATACAGAGATGAACGACCCTGAATATCACTTATGTTCACAACAGCACCGTGCCGAATAAGTGCTTGGACCACAGGAAGGTGGCCCTTTACGGACGCAAAATGTAGAGGTGTTGTATTATTTACTTATACTTATACTACTTATACATATACTACTCTTTCTAAGGAAGAAATTCTTCAAAATCACCTGTCAGTTTTGAATACTTTTAATATTCCACAGAGCCAAAATGAATTTGAACTACCTTATATATATTGGATTCCGAAACTTCATAAGAATCCTTACAAACAAAGATACATTGCAGGTTCCAGTATATGTTCAACCAAGCCTCTTTCGTTACTTCTCACTAAAATATTGACAGTAGTGAAGGCAAAACTTCAAGAGTACTGTACAACTATATATTCAAGAAGTGGTGTAAATCAGATGTGGATACTTAAAAATTCTAAAGAACTTTTGGACAATTTGAAATCACAAGACTTTACAAAAATCAACAGCATAAAAACTTACGACTTTTCAACTTTATACACAACAATTCCGCACGACAAATTAAAATCCAGGCTTTTTGATATCATTGACAGCTGCTTCTTCAACAAAAATGGAACTCGTAAGTTTACTTACCTCGTCATTGGTCATTTGAAAAATTATTTTGTTAAAACAGATTCTGATTGTACACATAAGTACTCTGAAGTTGACATCAAGAAGATGCTTGAGTTTCTGATTGACAATATCTATGTGGTTTTTGGAACAGGTATTCCTACAATCTATTGGAATTCCCATGGGTACAAATTGCGCTCCGTTATTAGCAGACTTGTTTTTATATTCATATGAAGCAGAATTTATGCAAAATCTTTTGCGTGAAAAGAAAAAAACACTTGCTGTGGCCTTCAACTCGACATTTAGATATATCGACGACGTATTGTCAATCAATAATTATATTTTCCATTCCTACGTCGACACGATATATCCTGGTGAGCTTGAGATAAAAGATACCACAGAGTTCAACACATCTGCTTCATACTTGGATATTTTACTTGAAAAAGACACAAATGGTAATCTAATAACCAAGCTATATGATAAACGTGATGACTTTAACTTTTCTATCGTCAACTTCCCTTACTTATGCAGCAATATACCTTCATCACCTGCATACGGAGTATTTATATCTCAGTTGATTCGTTACGCAAGAGCATGCTCTACGTATGAACAATTTATTAAACGAGGTAAATTATTGACATGCAAGTTGATGAAACAAGAATATCAACAGTCTCGTTTAAAATCATCATTTCGTAAATTCTATGGTCGATACAATGACCTTGTCAGCAAATACAATTTATCATTGAATGAAATGCTGACTGACGTTTTTCATACCAATTGTTAGTCCATTATTTATACACTGAATTGACTACGGATTTTTTCCGTTATTTCCTGATTATGACAATGAGCACACGGCGGGTGTGACCGGTCAGCAGGGGATGCTCACTCCTTCATGGCACCTGATCCCACCTCTGATGTTTCGGAGGTCCGTGTTTGCTCTGCTCTTGTTTTGTATATTTGTTTAATGGACGTTGAGATTGAATACTGTTCGTTATTTCCATATCCTTATTTCATCACCATCGAGGACACTAGCACCGTGTCCAATTAATATTTCGATAACTGCCAAATGACCATGTTGTGATGCTAAATGAAGACATGATAGACCCTGAAGTTCAACCTTTGTGACGTCAGCAGCATGTTCTATTAGTTTTTCAACTACTGATAAATGACCCTCTCTAGACGCTAAATGTAAAGGCGACTGTTCTTTCATATTACACTTGTTGATGTCAGCATCACGTTCAATGAGTTTTTCTACAACAGATAGATGTCCTTTCCATGAGGCTAGATATAATGCTGACTGGTCATGATTATCACACTTGTTGATGTCAGCAGCATGCTTTATTAACTTGTTTACAAGGGAAGTGTGGCCTCTTAATGCTGCTCTATGGAGAGGTGTCAAGTTATTTTTATCAGAGAGGTCACAATCCGCACCGTGCTCAATCAATGTCTCTACAACGGACAAATGACCATTTTGTGATGCTAAGTGTAGAGATGTCTGACCGTGAATATCTGTGTTGTTGATGATACCCTTCCTTCGAATAAGCTGTTTTACAATAAGATGATGGCCATTCATTGAAGCCAAATAGAGAGGCGACTTACCTCGGATATCACACATATTTATTTCTGCACTGTGCCCGATAAGTTTTTCTACGATATGTTCGTGACCAAATTTTGACGCCAAAGCCAAGGGAGAGCATCCTCTAATATCACATTCGTTACAATTAGCACCAAAATTAAGTAATTTGATTACTGTTTCAAGGTCCCCAATTCCTGCTGGTACCCACAAAGCAGGATATATACTGTTTGGGGGATTAAAATCTGCTCCATTATCATAAAGATATTTAACAACATCATGATTCATTCTTAAGCATGCGGCAATCACGGGGGTTATGCATCTGTGACGATTGTCAATTGGTTTGATTTCCCCCATAGGCATCTTGTTAATGCCTGCTTTCCCGACATCTTCTATCAGGATTTTAACTATACTTAGATTTCCATTATAACATGCCAATACGAGTAATCTTACTTGTTCTTCCTGTGTAGATCCAAAAATGACAGATTTATCCTGATTATGCCTGACAATAAATTCCACAAAATATTTCAGTAAATCGAGATGACCATAATAAATGATAAAACTCATGGCACGTATTTCATAAATTTTTCTGCTGCCGATACGTTTGAGGCCCAGAAGAAGATTTTGTCTTTCAAACTCTGTCTGTCCTTGTGGTTCTTCGATATGCTTTTCACTTTGTTTCTTTGCGTCGAGAATAACATTTTCAAAATATCTCTCCCTTGGATATAAAAAATACGACATGGTATACTCATACGGCATTTCTGTCAAAATGTTTATGAATTGCTTTTTGAAAATTGGGTCTGTGAGAGCTTTATTTAAAAACACATCATGTAGATTCCCTTGTTTTACATCGTCGTATAATCTTTTTGCAAGATTTTTGTAATGAGACTTACTAAGTTTGATGCATAATTTATCCCTGTTATATGTATTATCTAAAATAACTTTATTTGCAATGAAATTGCTACTCATGTTATCCAATATTTGATCAGGAAACTGCTGTCCATAATGTGATGCAAATACCTCAAACATGGAATCATGAGTAAATGTATATTTTTTATCATTTTCCGTGATATATGTACCTGTTAAGTGTGACAACTTTTCAATTATTTCCCAGTTTTGAGGTTTTTGCCTTACTCTGCAAGAACTGCAAGCCTTTTCTACCATAATTGTGTTAGTAAGCGTTTCTTCTGTAAGGCAATTGTTGGTCAACATGCAGAGAACCATCGACAAATATTGCAGTTTATTCCTTGTCTTAATTTTACCTATTTCTGAAATCAAGCATTTGGTTGGGTATTTAAAGAAATCTGTTCCATATTTTCTAATGTTTTCATCACTACTAAACATTTGACAAAGAAGGGGAAACATGATGATCCCTTTTCCGTGTAGAATTTTCTTATCAATGACATATGAAATCTCTGCATTTTTTGAATGAGATTCAAATATGCCTTTCCTATCTTCTACTGTAAGACTGTTATCCTCACTATCTAAATTCAGGATATTGTTTCCTTCAAAAAACACTACATTTAATTCTTTTGCCTCTTTGTATACTGCTAGTCTGCAAGACATGAATAGTTTTGATCCCTTTGATTTTATATCCAGAACATTTTCAATGTGTTCCTTATGTCTTTCTAAAGCTGATAATAAATTTCTCTCTAATGTAAAAACGCCTAAAACGTCATCTATGATAAATATTTGAGAATTTTTTATGTCACCATAGTTAATGATGTCCTCAGATTTGGAGATTGGAACAATCTGATACTCGGACTCCAGCTGTAAAGCAATGTGACAGATCAAAGCAGTTTTGCCACACCCAGGTGACCCAATTACAACAACAATTTGATGGGAAATAAAAAAGTCTTTCATGTCTTTAAAAAAAGACGTTTCATAAAAGATGTCTTTCTCCCAAGATTGCAATATTCGTGTGTGTTGGTCTGAAAAAAGAAATATTTTGTTGTAACAAAATTCCAAAAATATTTTTTTTATCCCGAAATTAAATTTTTGCATACTTATCTTATCATCCTACGACTTGTGAGCTTTCACTCGATCACATTTCAAATAGATTAAAATCATTTGTGATATAAAGTGACAGAAAATGTATAGATAATGTGTGACCCGACGATTATGAGAACACGTTTTCTTCAAAAGTATCAGTAATTTGAAGAACTAAGAAACACTGTTGGTAAAGTGAGAATCGGGAAAATCTCTGTTTAGGACACACGTTGAAACAGTATATGGCAACTAAACGTTCAGAAATATTAGTATTTGAGGAATAACTGTCACATTTCTCGATTTCCTGATGTGATTAATCTATTGATCATCGTCATCAAATCGAAAAATGTGAAAGTTATTCCTTATATTTACTTAAGAAATAAATAACAAGTTTATAAACTTCAATGGGGATTGAAGTGGGTCGGTCACGTGATCAAATCCTGTGAAGGCCGAAGGCCTTCTCAAAAGATTTGATCAGGTACTGACCCACTTCAATTCCCATTGAAGTTTATAAACTTGTTATTTATTTCTTATATATACATTTGAGATGGACAATTAAATATTCAATTAAATATATTCTGATATAAATATTGCACTAACCGGTTGCCGTAGATTTCCGTCAAAAGTATGCGAGGTGTAAATCGGCTTGAAACGCAGTTACGCTTCGAATTCGTCAAGCTAGAAATTCTATTACAAAGGAATTTTTTTGTTAAAGGCTACTTGTGATCAGTAATATTGAAAAGGTTCTTGTATGGGAATATTTTTATTTGTGCAAATTGATCATTAATGCTGAAAAGACACAAGAGACACCTCCGAAGTTTGATGATAAAAAATTGGAGGAATTTCGGTCGCCTGAAAGCACGGGCACTGGAAGTTAATGTAAATATAATAATAAAATAAAATTAAGACAGATGGATATATACATGAAGCGAGAAACAATTTATTTGTCATGGTATGTTCAACGTTTGTTGAAGAGTTAGTTGCAGTTAATATATTTTAGCCTTTTCACAAATAATTTCTAGGAATAATGAAGAATATTAGTATAGTATATAAAATATGTGTATGTCATAGACCAATCAGAACTTACCTTTTTTATTCAGTTTGGATAAAGCGGAATAAAGGCAGTCTAGCGAAATTCTTATGCACTTGGGGGTATAAAAACATCTTTTTTTTCTACGAAGGGACGGCATTGAAGCGGAACGAAACAGTAAATATATTTAAAGTAAGTTATATCTGAACGATTAATCGCGTCAACTTTTCTGAGAAAGGCCTTCAATACCCCAAACCCGAATTTGCCTCAAAAAGAGTGTCCTACCCTTCTTTTTTTATACATACACATACTATATATTTACATTAACTTCCAGTGCCCGTGCCTGAAAGGGATGGATGGATCCGATGGATTGAGACAGTTAATTTGCAATCAAGTACTAGTACATGAGCCAGGCCATGAATTTTTCGGTATCGGTACCATCTCGGGTGAATAATTTTCATAGTTAATTTTTCAAAGACATACATCCCTACCTTCAAAAAAATGTATGATAGCATTCAATTGATTGTGGCTTTAATGGTGTATCAACTGTTTATATACACCAACCCATCTTGTTCGTTCTCTCAGCTGTATCTTTGAAAGAAGAAGGTTGGTTTTTCAATACGCAATATCTATCTTATTTCGGATGATATATTCTTGAAAATTCTTTTGAATGCAGACCATGCTATTACCCTGTTCAGTTATTATTCAATATTAGCTCTGTAAGGAGCTGTCTAAATTATATAGGAATATAATTCTACCCTTGATCATAAAAGTGGAATATGCAATCTTGAAATTGTGATCAAAGGAAAGAAATTACTACTGACAATTTTCACACCAAGAACATGCATGGTCATTTTATTTAAAGAATTTTTATCACGTATTGGCATTTCAAAACATTATTTCAGTAACAAATATATATATATATATATATATATATATATATATATATATATATATATATATATATATGTATATATATATATATATATATATATATATATATATATATATATATATATATATATATATATATATATATATATATATATATATATATATATATAGTTATGTTAGTTTAAGAGTTGTTGTAAAATGTGCTTTATAAATAATAATTAATTTCATTACAACATGTATTGGTAACAATCCTCTGTTCAAACTAATGTCCAAGTAACTGTATCTCACTTCTATTCTCAATGACCGTGTAGTGTAGGACAGCGCCGCGAGAATTCCATCGGCATCGAAAGCAAGTCTTTTGACTTGCCTAGATAGCCGAGCGGTCTAGCGCGCTGTTCCTGCACTGCTAGGAGACAGATTCCGAAGGTCGAGAGTTCAACCCCAGGCTGGGGCGGAAGTGAGTATCCATGTAAAAGTGAATTTCTTTGTGCTTTCTATATTAATATATATATATATATATATATATATATATATAATATATAAATATATATATATATATATATATATATATATATATATATATATATATATATATATAACTTGATTTAATAGTAAATCTTTATCCCTATCCTAAAAATGAAAATTGAAGGAAAATTCCCTTTATGTACCCTGTGTGCGTATATTCTTATTTACTTAACAAAGATATTGTCAATATGTCATATCTCAAGTAGAGCCTTTACGTAAAATCTTTTAATTATTTAATAGCATGCAAAACCATGGTGATAATTGACACTTGTATGTTCATCTTAGTAAAACATGTAATATATTATACATTTTTGACATCAAAATTAAGCAACATATGTGCACAATCATATGTGCTTTCTGGACAGTGGGCTGTGTCTCACGATCTGCAATGGCCTGAAGCCCCTTCCCTCCACTAGACCGGGTAGAGGGAACCCGTACACTCTTAAGGGAGATCCCTCTAGGATAGCACTCTCTACACAAAGCGCTGACAGGTCTCAAACCCTGTTGATTGAGGGCTTCCCTACCTACCTGATAACGCATGTAAAGACTGTTCACCGGCGGACTCTGAGGAGAAAACCGTCATGGTTCAACGGAGAAGAAGGGAAAAAGGCGGGTACAGCAAGCACCTTGGAATGCTTGGAGCAAGGCAAGGTACATATAGCACGTCTTGGTTATCCGCTGTATCTGTCTCTATCTCCAGACATCCTGACATTTGTCTTGCCACTGGATCTCGATGGTTGTGGGCGAGAGAGTGAGGTCGTCGACGCGCAAACCTTCTTCATTTTAATCTAACTCATCGCGCAAGTCATTGATCATTTTCCATCCCTTCTATCATCCACTCCATAGCCCTATGGTGACAGGCGAGCGAGGAAGATGATAGGTGTGGGTTCACTGGAAGTCGGTAGTCGCGGACATGCACACAGGCAGCACAGGCCATATGGTCGCTCTTCACCGACTGGAGCAGCGTTGGAGTTCGGCAGCCACCTGTGCGACTGAGCAGCCCTCTTTAGGTACGCACTGCTCACCTCCATGACAAGAGGAGCGGATTAGAAAATGTATCCCAAACGTTGTCCGCTCACCCTTCCCTAGCCAGTTTACCGCGGCTGATGGGGACCCTACACATGCTGTCGAAATAACAAAGAGAACAAGAAGACAACAAGGATCAGGACTACGTCATTGTTAGGGAGAGAGACAGACAGACAGTTCGTTTGTTCACAAAGGCTATGTGCACGGAGTGCTGGACAGATCATCGTCACACAGTCTCTAGACTTCACCTCTCAACTTCCGGATCAAACTCAGGATACGTCCTCGGGAGACTAAG